ATCATCCACAAATGTCACAAAATAATAAAATTTATTGATTGAGGAATGTTTTATTGGACCCCATACATCTGAATGAACCAAATGAAAAGGATTAGAAACACGATTATTAACCCTAGACTTGAAAGACACGCGATGGTGCTTACTAAGTTGACAAACTTCACATGACAAGAATTTCAAATAACTAAGACTAGGAACTTGACGCTTCAAAACTTGAAGTGATGGGTGACCAAGGTGACAGTGCCACTGGAATGGAGACAGAGAAGACTGAAGAGCCACAGGAGAAGGTTCGAAATCAAAATAATATAAGCCACCGGCTTCATGCCCCGTACCAATCTTCTTCTTCGTCTTGAGATCCTGAAACACACAAGAAGTAGGATCAAATATAACAGAGCACTGGAGAGATTTAGTAAGCTTACTGATAGACATTAAGTTAAAGGAAACTGCGGAACATGTAAAACAGACGAGAGAGACAATGAATCACTATGTTGAGTTGTCCCCAAACCTGAAACCTGAATGGATGAACCATTAGCAAGAGTAACACTTTAAGAAGTAGGTATAGAATGAAAATCAGATAGAAGAGAAGAACATCCGGTCATATGATCAGATGCTCCAGTGTCTATGATCCAAGGACTGCTAGTGGAAAACAATAGACATGTGTTTGCAGTACCTGACTGGGCAAAGGTAGCCGTGGAAGATGAATTAGATGCTTGCTTATAAGACAAAAACTGAGTATACTCATCCCGTGGAACATGAATTGTATCTGATTCAGCTACATTGTGCGATACAGAAGCGACATCATTCGGAGAAGAGGAAACTTGATTTGGATAACTAGATGGTTTCCCATGAAGGTCCCAACAAAAGTTCACAGTATGATTAGACAGACCACAACGAGTACACTTTCTTAATTCCCTGCCACGGCCACGTCCTCCACGTGCATCACGACCACCACGTGCGGAGCGTCCCCCACGACCTCCACGTTAAGTATTATGTTCACCCTTTGAAACTACCAATGCTGAACGCTCACCACTCTGTCCAGTATTCAAATTTGAGGTATCACTTGCTAGTGTAGCACGCTGAAGTCGAGAAAACACCTCAGCAAGATATGGAAGTGTTGGACTGCTCATAATCTGTGCACGAAAAGGCTCATATGCTGATGATAAACCAGTAAGAAAACGGACAACATTAAAGTCTGCACGCTGTTGTTGCATACTGCGAACATCAGCAGTGCTGGGCTGATACATATTCAGCTCTTCACAGACTCCCATAACTTTGGAATAATACTCTTCTATACTTTGAGTACCTTATTTAAGATTGAAGTACTGTTTACAAAGCTCATAAACACGGGTGATATTACCTGTCCCAGAATATAACTGCTGCAATCTATCCCATATCTCCTTGGCTGTATCCAAATAAAGTAACGTTGAACTAATTTGGGGTTTAATACTGTTTATCATCACAGAGATGATCTGAGCATCTTCCTTTTCCCATGCATCAAAGGAAGTATCAGTTGCCTTGAGTTTCTCTTTAGTTAAATGAGAACCAAGACCTCTGCCTTTGAGAAAAATGGCAACAGATTTGGCCCACAATATGTAATTCTTCCCATTGAGCTTAACTGAAGTCATGGGAGAATTAAGACTGTTCGTGGGTGAAAGCAAATCTGAACTTGAACTTGAGGCCATGTTGAATCCAGCAAAACATAGAAGAAAAAGGAGAGAAAACAAAAATTCTGTATTCTGGCCGAACCTGGAAGCAGGTCTGTAACAGGTCGGATTCTGAAACCGGGTCGGATCCTGGCACGGGCCGGGCCCTGAAACGGATCGGATCCTCAAACGGGTCGGATCCTGGTATGGGGTCGGATCTGGACTATCCCTGGTTTAGTAAACCGGGATTGGAATAGCACAACCGTGTAGCCAAACACGGGTCTTCTTCTTCACTCCGTCACAAACTCCGGTAAACAATACAGCGGAGGCGACGGCAACCCAACCACGAGTAGCGGCCGAATCAACTTCCGGCCGAAAACCAATCTCACCTCTGCAAATCAAGACGAAGAAGCTTCTGCCGGCGACGACGAAGAAGGCAGAGATGTCGACCACCGAAGAGGAGCTGCCGGTGACTATGAAGAAGGCAGAAACGACAACGAACACACTTCAGATTTGATTACGGTGAACAAGAAATTGCCGACAGAGACATCAAAACCACAATCACGATCTGAATCATGATTTGATTCATGATCGGAATCGTGATTCACCACCAACCCACCTACTAACTCTCACACTCATGATCATTGTGCTCTGATACCATGTTCAAAATCAAAAGAGAGAGAGAGAGAGAGCAAAATCGTATTCTCTGTGCATATAAAAACAACTTCCAAAACCTAATAAGTCTATGTAGGCTTATATATGTTACAAGGTTTACATAATAACACAAACAGCCTATTAACTAAACATAATTACATAACGGCCCACTGTTATATATATAACTTCTAACAGTATCCTCTGGTAAGGAGGCATCAGTTTGGTATCAGAGCTTTGGTTTCGGCTTTTTGACTGCTCAATCATGCCTCCACGACAACAACTGAGAGGAGGAAATTGTAGGATGCAGAATCTGACTGAACCCTTACCCAAGCAACATGAAGGCGAGATAAGAGTTTTTGTGGAGGCAAGTTCAGTTGTTGACTCAACTATTGGGTTAACATGTTGTCAACCCACTGGTTGATGACAATGTTTTGGTGGATGATGATGTGTCAGACACCGAGACTATTGCGAAAAAATCGTATTTTTTGCATTGCCACATATCACTAGATGAGCTAACTGAACGTTGTTGGCTGACAAATATCAATTTTCAGATTTCTGATTCTTATGAAGAGGACTTTTTCAATCCTTTTTGCAGTAGAGCAACATCCAGACCAGCACCTATTTCACTTAATGAAAGGCGTTGGGATGAAACTTCAAGGATGAAATTCCTGAATTTGTAGGATATCTTGGTGGCGAAGAAAACAATTTTTGATCGAGGAAGATGATGCAACCCCAGTGGTCAGGCCAAAATATACCGGGAGGAAGAGGATGATATCATATGTGGTGATGTAGATGATTTTTTGGTTATGCAAAAGTCACTACTGAATCCGCAACATGAAGATGATAAAGTTGAGAAATTCAATACGACAAAATAAGAGGATGATGACCAGAAAATTGCTAATAAAAGTGAGCCATGTGGATTAGTTGATGGTCAGGTCAATGATATTTCCAAATTGATGACGCATGGGGAAAGAGGAACTGTTCCATCAGAAGTTGGTTCTGGTCTACTGAATCATGGGATACCAAAGGCAGCTAGTAGTCAAATTGCATGGTTGGCATATTCAGGCATATATGTTCGTTTATATGATACTTTTGGTCAATATATTGTTGGTCATGCTGTTGTACAAGATATGTTTGGTGTACCACACCCCTTGAATACTCGGCTGGGCTTCTTGTCTAAAATTCCTTCTGTACATCTAATAGTGACCGTTGGTGAGGTAAATCGGGTACCAAGCATGATATTTTTAGAGCATGGACCTTCAGGTATCATCATGGATGGAAAGAGTTCATGAAAAATTAAGAAGTTCCCAATGGTATAGAATCCTATTCATACTTGCATATAATCCATGCAAAAACTCGAGGACGAGTTCTTTCCAACTTGGGGGGACTGATGCAGTCAAAGAACCTAATTTTCTGCAGTGAAATTTGTGTCTTTTAGAAACTTTTTATATTTTGAAAATTTCCTTATTTTTGTAGTTTTCCGAATTTTTGGCAACTTTCCTGTTTTGGTTTTATTTTATAATTGGTTGTTAGCTATTATAAGGCTAAGATTGGGGAGGAAGAAACTCTATATAAACCCTTGTAATTGCTAGGGTTTTCAGTTTTAGCTTTTGAGATTATTTTTTTTTACAGCAAAAAAAGTTTGCTTTGCAATTTATCATTTTCTCTTGCTTTTGTTCTTTATTTCGTTTCAATATTGCTATGAAGACGATTTAATCATATCCTCTTGGTAAGGCGGCATCATATAACCAATATATAGGAAGTATATGACGATAAAATGAGTTATACAGTAAAAAAAGTTCTACTAATTAATTAAAAGGAGGAGGGGTAGTTTTGACATTTTATTTTTTCAAATTAGCTTGCTTAGCTGACTTTTGAAGTGACTGACGGTCAACTAACAGAAAGGGGGTGTCATGGCAAAGTCAACCAAACCTAGGGGGAGGGTTAGGTTTTTTATTTTAATTTTTATTATTTTTTTTATCACTAGTTTAATCTGTGAGCAATAAAGGCAAACCTGAGATGGTGTCAGAGCATTTTGACCTTCTTTTTAACAACCATTCTTAATAAGACTACATTAGATATACTCGTACACGAAGTGCATTCTACTGCTTATTTGAGATGTTGATAGTCAAAGTTTATATTGTTAACAACTAAGTACTCTAGTCAAAGTTTATATTGTTAACAACTAAGTACTCCTTAAGTTTATTCTGAATCTTGTAGTGTCTAACGTAAGTTTTTATATTTCCAGCATGTGTAGCCGAAGGCACCACCATGATTGGGCCAAACGTGTGCAATAGGTGTTGAATTCAGGCAAAGAATCTAGCTATACTAATGTCATATTGCAAAGAATGACAGTGTGTAAATTATTAGTGAAGGCACGGCCCAAGTATATAGTATATACAACAGTTGCAAATGCCCAGTAGACAATATACAATAATAATAGTGAAATGTATGTTCTGTATCTAACAATGGTTTTGTGCACTAGTGGCTGAATAAATGCTATTAGGTGGTATATTTTCAAATACACATTGCATCTATTTTTCATATTGGGTTTGCATATATAATAATAAAATTTTACCTAGATCTATAATTCGCGAGAAGTAACTTTAGCATGAGCTGAGTTTGAGTTTCTCAAAATTTCAGCAATATTTGGATTTCTGTCTATTTGTTTTTGACCGTTCTGTTTTGAAAATGTTCAAAATACAGGGTGACGCTGGTTTTAAGGGGAGTTTTGCAACTCGAGTTTCTGGTTCTGCTGACCTGTTCAGAGTGAGCATTATAACTGTCATGAGCATCATGTTTCTATATAAATTTTTTATTCCTCTTTTTCAATCTGAGAATCGATAAAGTAATAAAACCTTGGGAAGAAATCTAAAATTGTCACTTTTTTTTTTCGGAATTTAAGTTCACCAGTTTGATTAAGCAGATTAGGGCTCAATACTGAGTTGGCATTCATACCCAGTGTTAGAGAGTTTGAGTTTTGGGGTTCCATACTATGCCACAACCATCCCATAACAATGGAATCCTCATACTTCGTCGTGTCGTCGGGAGGATTTTCGGTTAAATACTTTAGTTTCTTCGGCCCACATAGGCAGTGTTGTTAAAGGGGCACGCCTACGCTCCAGGCTCATACGGGCGCAATACTTGCGCCTGATGTGTGCCCAGGTGCGCCTTTAATACGGAATATGAATATGGTTTAATAGTAATTTAATTTTTCAATTCACTCTGGCGTGTGCCTCGCCTTGCGCCTAGGCTCCAAAGGACCTCTAGCGCCTTAGTGCACCTTGGGCCTTTGATAACACTGCACATAAGAAAACTTGCACAGCATGGGTCCAAGTGAGGTAATTAACGCCATTCAATTTTTTCAAGCTAATCATCCTAGGGATATCATCTACCTTGATGGTTTGTGGTTTATCATCAGCCATGGGTAGAATTTGAACAGAAGGTACAGGAGTTTAACAGAGTTGCTGATGTAGATTCAAAACAAAAGCCAAAAATTGAATCTGAATGTGATGATATCGAAAATCCAAGTATCCAAAGAAGTTCCAGAGGAGATTAGGAGCATATTACATCAACAAAACCTAAGTGACAGCAAGAAAACCAAGGGGTTGGCCTAGTTGGAAAAGACTTGGGCCATGGTGCCTCATGAAGCATCAGGTCTCAGGATTGATTCCTGCTAGGTGCAAACTATTCTTTGGACGGGGAGTGTGTGAGTACCAACTAGGAAAAAATAAATAAGTAAAAAAATAAAATAAGTGACAGCAAGAACAGGTCACAGCCGTACCTCCTCTTTGGTCAAAAACAGATTCAAAATGCACTAATTCAACCTTCTCTGATGTTAGGCAAGTGAACATGAATGAGTTCTAAGTTTCTATTTGGCTTTATATGAAGTTAAAGTTGGTGAAATTGTGCTATACAGTTTGTGAGTGAAGAAGAAGAGGAGAAAGGAGAAAATATTATTATTGTGGATTGAAAACTTAAAACAGATTCTACACTACCCCAATATTATATAGAAATGGCAAGATTTCAAAATGCCCTTAATACAATAAGGCCCAATAATCCAAACTCTCTAACACCCAGTTCCTTCCAATTATAGTGAATTCAATGCAGCCATAAGCTAATGTATTCTTTGACGTCTCAGGAGTAGGGTCCATGTACTTAAATGTTATATCTCTTGCATCATAGAAGTAGATATTCAGTTTCTTTCTGATTTATTTTGGCTGAAAGCTCAATTACACTGCACTTCTTCATCTAGTTATCATTTATATTTGGTATTTCTTTAGCATTGCTTAGATCTTGATCTGTCCCTTTGATATTAGCTTACAAGACTGGTTTATTCTGATATTAACTCACTAGAGCAGTCTAATAATACTCTTATAAATTGCTTAGATCTTGGTCTGTCCCTTATATGTACACAGTATTGCTCAGATCAGTGTAATAGCACAATGCTCAAACTTTCATTTATAATGGTTGTGTGAGTTTGCTGTGGTCATGTTTATTCATTACAATATATCCAATTGTCATAAAAATATTCGTAGAAATTGAATGCCCTGGTACAGATGGGGATACTTATCCTTGATTTCATCCTCGCATTTGGAAGTGGCTATCTTGTAGAGTGATAGTTTCATAACACTTAATATGATATTTAATTAGACCTTTCCATTTTAGATTATGCACAGGTATTCTACGTAGTTTAATAATCTCTAATCGGCATTGACTCTGTCTTAAATATGACTCCTAAATTTACATGGTTCTTTCTTTAAATAGGTGAACAAGCGCAAGCCATACCATGGTGTCAATTTTGTTATTGCACACGATGGGTTCACACTGTATGACCTCGTGTCATACAACTTTAAGGTATTGTTTTAAGTATTAGGCCACTTTTTCTTTATTTGTTTATTGTGATCCCTAAACTCTCGAATTTTTACTCATTATTAGTTTTTTTTTTTTTTTGTTTTTATATTGCAGCATAATGATTCAAATGGAGAAGGTGGCAATGATGGAAGCAATGATAATTTTAGCTGGAATTGTGGTTATGAAGGTGTCCTCTTTTTTTTTTTGCTAGTTCATGATTAATCTCTCTTTAAGAGTAACTATTTTTTGAAGCATTGATGTTGTCATTGATATGATTAAATTGGCTGTGGTTTCCATATGTCCCCCTTCCTTGAGTGGCGACACTCTTCCCCATGAGTTGGCTATGGATGCATTATGTAATCAGGGTGGCATATGTCATGACAAACTGTTTTCAGTTTCGACACTAGGGTTTAGCTTTCTTAAATGTGCATGACTTCTTTTTTCCCTTGACCTGTTACCATTACAGAAATGCTCGAGTACCATGTTGCGAATCAGGGCCTGGCTGCCAGAATTTAGTTGTTTACTGATTAAGCTTGCAGTAGGACGTGGAGGAATTAAGTATTTGATGCTCTTTACAATCTCTTACTGAAGCACTATATTACAAATAGATCAATTTTCAAAAAAAGAAAAAGAAAATATGTATGGTAAAACAATATGATAAATTAGCTAGTTGATTGCACTAGCAACTAGAAAACTACTCCCTCAGAGTGTAAACAAGAACAGAAATGGGGGTGTAAATTATTTTTAGTGGTTCTCTTTGGAAAACACATAATGGAGGATTAGAGCTTTTAATGAAAGGAAAATTTATTCCTAACAAATAACACAAAACTGTTAATTTACAAACATCTTCTGCATGTTCCGTTCTAGCTCCTTTTCTATACGAGCATTTGCATTGGAATAATAATTGCTTAGTTGCTTTTTTCCTCTCTCTCTCTCTCTCTCTCTCTCTCTCGCGTGTGTTTGTGAGGTCAATTATATATCATTCAACTAGCTAGTGGGTGATTATAGTTTCTTGGGCTTGATATACCTCAAAAACTTATAACATTCTCTTCAGCTAACTGATATAGTCAGCTTGATTTATTCTCATTGGTAGATCCACTATTTGGTGATATAATATTATTTCGAATTTAACTAATTATTCTGTATCTCATAAATCTGTACATTTTTTATATTACAGGAGAAACTGATGATGCCAATATTAAAGCTCTACGTTCCCGGCAAATGAAGAACTTTCATTTCGCGTTAATGATATCCCAGGTAAACTTTTTTGAAAGCCATTTATAATTGATCATGTACTTATGCAGCATTATCATTTCTGTGTTTTTTCATTGCTGAATTTAAAAAAGGAAAAAAGAAACCTTCAAAAACTGTGTACTTGTTTGACGAATGGTCTCGACAGTCAGGTTCTACTTAGCTCTTTCTAGTTTGACAGAAAAGTATTCCTCAAATATTTTCTGATAATATCTTTTTTGACCATAAATTTCTGTTTATCTCGACAATTGTTTTTAGCATGAACTTGGCTTAAGGTTTTCATCTTTTCACTTACCTTTGGAACGCATTAATCATCACACCTGAAATTTGTTTTTCATGTGAGAAATTTTCTCTGCAAAAGTTTCCTCATCAAGTGAAGCTTTCACAATTTCTCTATTTGTACCGTCCAGTAAAGTTGATTGGATGCGGTATAATTTTATTTGGGATTTAACTAGAATTTTGTATACTGGTGAATCTCTTTTACCTCCTAGAAACTCTAAAGTAGGAATATGGAGACCATCGATAAGTTTTTCATTATTTTGCCTCATGATAGTAAATGCTAGTCTTTTTATTTCTAGGCGCATTCTACCTTCCGATTTTATGGTTTGCGTAATTCTGACCATATGAATTTTATTAGTTGATGTCGCCAAATAGTTCGGCAGTTATTATATCAACTCTCTCTCTCTCTCTCTGTCTCTGTCCCCTCTTCTAATTTTGCTTTTGCCTTTTGCCTTTTATCTTCTTCCTTTTGTTGTAGTATTGTTTGATTGCTTTGGATTATTTGGAAATCCTCTTCATCTGAGAAAATAGATTTAAATTTTTTACTTATCTTTTTTTTTTAATAAAAAATTTTAATTTATATTTTGGTTGAAATAAGTAGGGAACACCAATGATGCTGATGGGGGACGAATATGCACATACTCGCTATGGAAATAATAACAGTTATGGGCATGATACTGCTATTAACTATTTTCAGTGGGGACAAGTAAGTGATGTCTTCTGTTTTCTCCTTTCTCATAGCTTTTATTCAAGATGGCATCTCTAAAGGAATGAACTTTTTTGTGAAACAGTTGGATGCAAGGAAGGCAAATCACTTTAGGTTCTTCTCGGAGGTGATAAAGTTTCGCAAGATGCATTACATATTTCGACGTGAAAATTTTATTGGCAAGGTATCTTTTCAGCTTCTCTGTACTGAAAATAGATCATTGCAAGTACTCAATCGCTGTTCGTGCTTCATTTTTGTCATTGAATTCATTGGTACATTATTATATGTGCTCTCTTTCTCTTGCTCTTATCCTTCATTGTATAGAATATAGATATCTTCAAGTTTTAACATTTACCTTTACTGCTACTACCCTTGTAATGATATTTGATACTTATTTGTGCCCCCTGCCTTCCCCCAAAGAAAAAAAATACAAAAAGAAGATGATTAAGAAATTTTCTCCAAGATAATAATTGTCAATGATGTACTTGTTGGCCAATTCCTTTGATTTGCTTGCCTTCTGGTTATGTATGCAATGGTAGGCATGCTAGATAAATATTCCATGTTGGTAGTTCCATGCTGTTTTTTGTTGTATCACCCAGGTACTTACACATTTTGAAGTGCCCATATAGGGTACATTGCCACATTTCACTTAAATATTATGTCAATCAGCTGTTTGTTACCTTTACAAACTAGGTGGCATCAATATAAATTGCCATTCTTCGTAGATAGAAGAACTCGTGGCGCTCTAGCTGTTTCTTTGAGGATAATTATTGTGACAACTCTTGAGTTGATTTAACAATAACTGACGTTCAATCCTTGTTCCTGCAACTTATGAATTTGCAAAGTGTGACGTGCATGTGTTGTGGGCCTTGACAGAGTGCATGGCATATTTTATTGCATTCTTATCCTTAAGGTTGTCTAAATTTCTATCTCCCTGCTTTATCTACATTATTCTTGTAAGGCTAATAAAACATTTTTGATCATGCAAGGATGATGTGACGTGGCACGAAGACAATTGGGATAATTATGAGAGCAAATTTCTTGCATTTACGTAAGGGAAAATACTTTTCTGTTTAATACAATGTTGGTATTCAATAGTGTAAAATCAATGATGTTCAAATTTGCATACATGCATGGAGAGTAATGTGGGATCTTGATGGTTTTACTTGGCGCTGGCATCTCCTGCTTTTCTTAAACTGGGAGATTGTTTTCTTTTGCAGCAAAATCCTCCCTTTGGCCAAGCTAGTAGATCACATATGTGGCTTTCAGCAGAATTCGAAGCTTGCTCCCTTTAACATGAGTGCATTTCATATTGTGCTTCAACTTCATTCTTCCAAATTTAGGATGAAGCTTTAGTAAGCTTGAACCTGTGACATGCCATCCAACTAAGACATGGACCTGGAGATTTTGCAACATACTTTTCCCTTATATTGAATAGGCACCAAGATCTGAAGGATATGTTATCGATTATTTCTATGATAAGATATGTTAATAAAATTTTCACTTAACCTGACAGTGTCATATAACTATATGCATCTTAACCTTTCTTGTTTTCGGGTTGATGATCCTTATTGCACCTTCTGCATAAACCTGCAGTGTTGGTATTGGGAAAAGCTAAGTTCAAGGAAACTCAAAATATTCACCTTAACAGTTCAATTAATAGCATTAACATGTTTCTTTTTAACAGTTCATGTGAAAAGGTATTAGAATATGACTAGAGCAGCCTAGTTGTAGTAAGAGAAAATGCAGATGAGTTCAGGATTGTAAATTGATTTAGTTGCCTTTATCAGAATCATATATCTTGACATTTTACGGGTTTTGAAAAGCAAATTTTATTGATACCTGGGAGTAACTTCCTGCTGAACCATTTGTTTTGCAGATTTCATGACAAGCATGGAGGAGATATCTATTTGGCTTTCAATGCACATGACTATTTTATCAGAGCTGCAATACCTTCGCCGCCGCCAAACAGACGTTGGTTCCGAGTGGTAAATTATCTTTTATCAATTAGGTTTATAAACTGAAGGTTCTTAAGACGTTTGGAACTGCATATTTTTAAATGCTAGAACATTTGTGGATTTTTTTCTCTGGTCAATTGTGCTCTTTTTTTAGTTTTCCTAGTATGGTATTCCCCTTCCATTTGCAGACTAACCAAAATTGGCCCTGCTCTTTATGTATGATATCTTGTGCATCTGGGACCTGAAACCTTCTTTATTAGTGAAATTCATTTAATACCATGAACCGATGTCGTTGCCTGAGTAAGAAATTAAGTGATGTCTAGGTTGCAACAGAAGAAAATAGTCTATAGAGAGTAAAGCAACTAAGAAGATTAGAGGTTTGTATATACTGGCTTCTTTTTGTAAAGTTTCTCTCTCTCCAAACATAAATTGCCTCTTTAGGGGCATAAAAATGGCCAATAGCTGCTCAAGTTAGCATTACTGCAGTAGGATGGGTCACAGTAATCTTTACACATACATCCTTCTATATATTTTTGGGTACTCTTCCAATTTGAACTAGATGAAAGTATAATTACCTGATTGTTGGCATTTATATCTTGTTCAATGTTCCACGGGGATCGCATTTTAGTTGCTTAACCAATTGTACCGCACACGTACTCTATACAAGGCATACCATGTCTTCAATTGGTTTTTTTTCCTTCTCCTCATATTTGACATTTTTTCACTTCGAATACTGATCAACTGGCAATGATGTCAAATGCAGGTAGACACTAATCTTGCGGCTCCTGCTGATATTGTCCCAGAAGGTGTTCCAGGCATCGGAACGGCATACAATGTAGCTCCGTACTCTTCAATTCTACTCGAAGCAAAACCATGAAATCACCTCTGCACCCGCCACCCGATATTCAACACCACGTCCTACTCTAGATATCATGTGGTTGGAAATTCAAGTTCCATCAATTCAAAATTTTGGCTGGATGGAAATGGTTAAAATTCTAAACCCTAGATGTGCAATGCAGACCAGTGAATGTAAAAACTAAGTTGTAAACTTTGTAGACGCCGCTGACGGAAAATTTTGCTCTGAAATTGATGTCATCATGGACGAGTAAAGTATATTAGGCCATTTGGTCATTATATCTCTTTACCGACCACAAAACGAAATTTAGAGGGCTCTAGTTTATCAAATCAAAAGTAATTTCTTGGTTATTACTTGAAAGACGAGTATCTTCTCTCTAACAAGTACTCAGCCAATAACGAACTGACACGCAAGTAAATAGAATCACATAATTCTGGATTATGTAAATAGTTTTCGTGCTTTCGTACTAGATTCTTGAAGAGGATGCCTGATGTTGAGGGCTAACAAACACGACTCACAGAAAGCCTCAGCAAATAGAGAAAGAAGGGGCCGACAGCATCACTAGGAGACTCTGATGTGTCTCCCTGCTTCTGCACAAGCCAACCATTATAATTGTACCATGCGTCGTGCCGTGTGATGTTTGACCAAAATTTTTCACTCTTCCATATACTGGGTCGCTCCAGTCCATGTCGACCCATATTTATTGCTTTGGAAATTTCGTCCCTGGGAGCGTTTGATGTTTGATCATTTTCAATTTTTTGATATTTTTGGGTATAAAAAAATTAATTACATAATTTCCCATCTAGTTTATAATTTTTCACTCTTGATTTTTAAAAAATAAGACTACTTTGTATCAAGGAGATTAAGAGATGGATGAGGATGCCACATTAAATGAGAGTATTATAATAGGAACAAGTGTATAAAACACTTTTAAAATATATTTCGTGTAGTATTTTTTATCTCTATTTGAAAAAGTGTGCAAAAAATGTCCTTCAATCAGAAATCTGACATAAATTATTGTTGTAATGTCGTTTTGCTTTTTTACTCTTTCGAAAAATTTTCAAGGGGTATATGTGTTACTAATTTCATAGTATAGGGGTGTTATTTGTACATTATTATATATATATATATATATATATATATATATATATATATATATATATAAACTTTTTTCTCTATATATATTGCTAAACATTTTTTTTTTTTTTTGAAACTTTGAGAAGTATTTGAATTTTTTTAGATTTCAGTTTACTTTTTCTACTAATTTTTTTTTTCTTTACTTTTCTTTTGGTACCAACATTGTTAAACAATAAATAAATAAATAAATAATTCCAATATGTGTGCACTAGTTTTTTTGAGTTTTGAGCAAATTTGATTTATTTAGTTTGCATTTTATTTTCGTTTTTTTTTTTTTTTTTTTTTTTTTTTTTTTTTTTTTTTTATCTTTACTTGTCCATTGTCGGCATCCTCCAATAGTTTCCTTTTACGGTCATTTTACAAAATTATTTTTTTTTATATATTTTATAAAATGGTTCAATAAGGTAATTTAGTCAACTTAGGATTTAAATTTGTCAGAAGGACCTATTTGCACAAAATTGAAACTTTAGGGATGTTTTTCGCACTTGACGGGGCATCCTCCAACAATGTCTTTTTTGGTCATTTTACAAAATTATTTATTTTTATATATTTTATAAAATGGTTCAGTGAAGGTAATTTAGTCAACTTTGAATTTAAATTTGTCAGAGGGACTTATTTGCACTAAATTGAAATTTTAAGGGTGTTTTTTGCACGTGAGTGGTGTGATATGCACTGTAAGTATACTTTAGGAATGTTTTCTGTACTTGACCCTATTATTATTTTGTAGGTGTTATATTACATTACTTCACTGAGCGGACATGTTGAAAAGTCAAATGAGTATAAACTGTTATGCCTGGCATGTTGAAAAGTTAAACGAGTTTGGATATGTGATATTCACAAGACATTTAACTAAGTACCAACAAAATCTTATCATCCTATCAAGTCACCAAAACATCCATTGCACCCTGACATTCCATCAGGTCTTGAAAAGACAAATCTCGAGTCATTAAACCCTGACATCTCACGAGGTAATCAAACCTTGAAAAGGCAACTCTTTCAATTCACCAAATTTTGATATATCACCCGGTCACCAAACTTCAAGAGGGCAAAAATGGAGTCATCAAACCCTGACATCTTACCAGGTTACTAAATTTCGAGAGGACAAACTTGAGGCATCAAACCCTGTCTGTCTCATCAGGTCTTCAAACCTCGAAAGAAAACTCTCGAGTCATCAAACCTCAACTCCAAGGCACCTTACCAAGGCACCAAACCTCAAGAAGGTAACCCTTGAGTCATCAAACCATGATATCCTACCAAGTTATCAAACCTCAGGAAAGCAACCTTCGAGTCCCAAGTATAATCCTGGCACTAGACCTGATTGTCAAGTCTTAAGCTCGCCTAGACCTCAACTCCAAGTTGTTAAACAAAAAGTGAGGTAAAGAAAGTAAGGATAGGGACAAGGCCTCATGTGGAAAAGAAGGGAAAAAAAGAAAAAGAAAAGAAGTAATAGATTTTTGGGGTATAATTAAATAACTCGTACTTTCAAATTAGTGCAAAAAAAAAAAAAAAAAAAAAAAAAAAACCTCACTAAAGTTAAACGATCCTGAACCATAAAACGTTATGACATTGCCCAATTTCCGTTAAACTGCAGTCTAAAGGGAGCACATGTCTATTACGTGCTCTGTTTAATCACTTTATGCCGAAAATACCCTCAGACCATCACGTGACTGGTAGCAGCACTTCTTGTTGTCATCGGCCTCATTAGAGGGGATGAGTCCTCAATAGAGAGGATGAAATTCAGAGCAGATGAAGTGGAGGGTTGAGTGGATGTACCTCCCTACGCAAAAGTTTTGGGTTATGCGGTGGCGCCTTGACCGTACCACGTATCATGGAAGCGTACCACGGGCTCACCATGTGGAACATACCTGCACCCAGAATTGCTTTCGTCTCCGAAAATTGGAAGCAATTCATCGCCGATGACAACGACGAAGATGACAAACAGTTTAATTTGATCGCCGCCGCCGGCGAAATCATTTTCTTAGGTAAGTTATATCAATTGGTCCTTCAGCTTTCTAACATAATAAATATTACATACAACCAAAGCAAAGTAGATTAATAATGCACAAATATAATGAACAAGAAAGAACAGAGAAAAAAAAAATCAAATTGATCCTCCTGCGTCGTAATAGCAACAAAGAAAAAAAATTCATAAAACCCATTTTGTACACTGATTACATTAAATCCTAATGCAAAATAACAATATTAAAAAGAACACAAACCCATTCTGTACCCAACAGATTATAGAACAAAGAAGAGGTACCATTATTTTGGCCGTCATGAATTGTATGTTAGACACGTTTATTCATATTGCGACACTATATTCATATTCTAACCCACTTGGACTGACATAGCCTTACTGGAAAGTTACGACTACGTGGATTTTGAAAAGTTAAGATAGTTTAATAACTGTTATTTTGAATCAAAATAAAAGGAAGGCTTGTATAATGGATTGCATTCTCTTCTCGATTTTATTTATACAATATCCTATAGAGGTCCCATGTCTAACAAGTGCGGTCTGTGTTGTCTCCATCAAGTACATGCATAAAGACTTGTATAGGCGTGAACATCTTGGAATTTCTCACTTTGTTTTGCAGGCATTAACCAATTTGATTTCATGGCTCAAGGTAAAGGTAATGCAATCTTCTTTGACTGGATAGTTTTTCCTACCTTTGGTATCAGAGCCATAACTTTTACTTATGTTATCATTCGGTTTATATGTCTATAAAATTTGTTTAGTAACTATGTTGTCGTTCCTTTTATTTGGCATGTAATATTTGTTTAGCGGCTATGTTGCCGTTCTCTCTTTTGCCTGTAATATTTCCTGGGTGGTTCTGTTTGTTCTGAATTATTTTTGGTGGGTGTAGTTCTATTTTTCTGGTCTGTAATATGCTTTATCGTTTTGGTTACTTTGGCGGGTAAAATTTTTTGGTTACAAAATATATAAAGTGATAATGGAATGTTAAATCCAAACGGATTGCGATGAATAAAGTGTTCAGACCCGAACGGTTTAACTACTGCTTTAAATATGGGAGAATCTCATCGTGAATTCATACAGTGGGTACAATCTTGATCTTTTGATGATAAAAGTGATTCAGATCCGAGTAGTTTCACGACTGCTTTAAAAAAGGGAGAAGCTCATCATAAGACCATAAAGAATAGTTTTTAATGAATGGTTAAATGTATATACATGCATAAAATGTTATAGAATTTTTAGTTATGCGATATACTCTGGAGTTGTATAGTTTTGAAAATATCTATACAAATGAAGAATGCTCTAGAGTTGTACAGTTACTGCATATTAAAGTTTATGTGCAGTGTACCCCCCATACATGCAGTTTATTAAAGTATAAGTATGACTATTGTTTTAATCCGTATTTTTAATCAGAGAGTAGCCACAACATCTTTGGTTGTTTGGTTTTGTGATATAAAATAAAGTTTTACTATATGATATTTATATCACATAAATATTATGCATTAAAAAGGTTATAGTTCATTAATAAAAAGTGTTTTATTCTACCCACAGGGAAATAATAATTGTTTATGAATGAACGTGGATAAAAATGATTTTGGAATTAAACTGACAATGAATACAAATGCCCACATGACTGTATCATTGTCATTTTAATGCCATTAAAGAATGTTTTATCCCATTATTGCTATATTTTCAAAACATTATTGTATTAAAACCTCTATCCACAAGAATGTTATAATGACACATTGTTTTGATGTGAAGTTTTTTTAACGTGGATTAAGAATTTCAATAAAGTTTATATGTATAGTAGAGTAATGTTTGGCATGCTTTTTTTTTTTTTTTTTTTGGTAGTAATTCCATCTAGTTTTATCAATATTGGTTCATCTCATATCCCATTTTTAACTGGTGATAATTATTCGGATTGGAAGGGGAAAATCCTTCTAATATTAGAGTGCATGGACATTGATTTGGCACTTCGTGTGGATGAACCACCCATCCCCACGGAATCAAGTACGCCAAGTGAAAAGGCTTCTTATGAGAGGTGGGAGCGATTAAATCGCTTAAGTATGTGTCTCATTAAAAATCATGTTGGGAAAAATATAGGAGTTCAATTCCTGAATGTACTAGGCAAAAAATTACATGGCAGCAATTGAACAACAATTTATAAGTTCCGATAAAGTATTGGCTAGCATCCTCATGACCAAATTATCATCAATAAAGTATATGGGTGATAAAGGGGTC